GAGTGGGAGAGTGGGCGAGAATATGATGAAGCAAAACAGGCCGACGAGGGCATCGGCGAACCCACCATGCACTAGATTGTGGCTGCTCTGCTCAGCAGACCCTCTGAGTGATCCGTGCGACATGAAGGTGGATCCAAGCAGGCTGGTGTTGAGTTGGGCGGCCGGATCCGCTTCCTGCAGAGAGGTCAGAATGCCAAGCTGCAAGTGTGAACTGGACACCCCCGAAGCGGTGTGATGCAAGAGGTTCGAGAGGGTGGCGATGTTATCTGACAGAAATATTGTAATTGTTTGCACAGAAAATGCGTCAGTCATTGTGAATGGCGCCAGTTTAAGCCAATCGTCGGGACACGATTCACCTAATCCATCTGAAGCGGTCCCAAATTCACTTGAGAGGTGAACCAGTCCGTAAAAAGATTCATCAACACTTCGTCAAGCCAAATGTTATGCGGTTTGGGTTTCAAGACCTAATTGCTCCTGCATGCCCGACAGAGCGATGCAACAAAGATGCGATTTGGCAACGACAACAGACGATTGCAAATGGATGTACAGACACGAAAAATCCAAGCATGATTGAAGGTACAAATCCGTCCTTTCACTCCGGCTCCTCGAGTTCACATCACACAAAACATCTACTCACATTATACGAGCTTCTAAACTACCAGTAAATCTTGATGAATAGCTTCAGAAAATGTGTTAATCCTACTTCGTTTCGGGTGATCAAGGGCTGGCAGTGGAGTAGATCATACGTTTCCATTGAATTTCACACATGGCCTTGTCTCATGTCTTGCCGTGTGCTCCTTTTGGGAAGCAAAGCCAAGTGTGAAATCGAATGGAAACACGAGGCCTGTTCATGTGAATATGGGGAAATTCAACTACCAGTCTTTCATTACCTTCGGCGAAATAGGGTGAGTGCATCACATAAATCTGAGTCTCGAAAAAGCTTAAATAATGTTGCAGTAACCTGAGGCCGAAACTGCAGTCAAGACCGGCCGAGATGAGAAGGCCGCTTGAGAAGCTAGTTCATGTGAAATCCGACGGATACTTGGAGTCTATTTATGTGATTGTCGAGAAATCCAGCTATCGTTAAGTTCCCTCATTACGCCTCCCCGACTGATTGGAACGCCTATTCATTGTGTGCTTCTAACCAGTTGCTATCATTGTTAGGGGGACCTTCATTTCGAATGAAAGTACATGAAGAAGAGATTTGTTTGTTGATCTCACCAGATGAGGATGGATGAAAATTGTTGTATTGCAGCCGTTTAGCTTTTATATGATATTCATGTTGACGCAGTCGACGAGTATTCCTCCCTCGTTTTGGGTAAAAACGTGATGAGCTTTCGTCCATCATTCGATGGACATCATCAGAGCTGGATTTCATTCTAGTAAGAGTCTCACATTAACACTATAGCAAAAACACTTTCCGGCAAATATTTTCTG